TCAGTACATGATTGGGTAGAAAAAGCTCGTCAGAAAGAGTAGCAGTTAAGCCGATATCACAATGACTCATGAAAACCTACGAGCGTCGTGCGGACTATCTTTGTATGAGGAACAGTGATTCCTCAATTCTTGTAAAAGTGGATCTGGTACTGACAGATGTCGTAAGTGGGAGGGACTTTTTCCATACGGACGTATGGAAACAGCAACACACCCATCTCAGGCACTCACGACCAGAATGATTTGAGAAATTTCGGTTTGGTTGGGGGAAAGAAATTACCGAGAGAAATTTTGTGAGTAGACAGGAATACAATCGATGTGAAGCGACTAGTCTTGTGAATACAACTCAGATCGATACGCAAGTATAAGAGGAGCGGATGTGCCGGAGTAATTCCTATCCCACGGTTTTTACATACTGTTTCGTTCTAGCGGAACTCCGAGTTACTTTAACAAAACATAACCTGTAACTTTTATTTCCTCCCCTTCTGCAGACGACATGGAATAGTGATAGCACAAATCAACGACTTCGAGCTTTGTCTGTTCACTGTCCCAGTCTGTCTATAGACGAACCCCTCGGTCAGCCGTACATGGCTAATCAGATGTCAGATTCCTCCCAATTTACTGCTAATGATTCCGAGCGCACTGGCTTCTGGGGGCCAGCTGCAAAATCCAGTGGAGCAAACACCCCAACTGTGGCATTCAAAGAAACCATACAATCGCGTACGGTAACCCGATTTGATGACGAACCCGTGGGGAGTGTGAGCGAGTCACGCGGTGGTCAGAGCGTACAGTCCCGTTTTAAACAGTTTTGGGTGGAAAGTTTTGCCAGTGGCCGGTCACGAACAAGGTCGGAAAATCAAACAGGGATAGGAAGCCGTGGGGAGAGCCTTCGCGGACGTAATCTGGGCAGAGTTAGTCCACAAATTGTCTATCAAAAGGATGTTCTGCCACCTCATGCTCACACAGTTACTGGTGGATCGACTCAGGCCACATCACTGCTTCGCCGACTCGCATTGTACACGAACATCTCCGGATCACCGTCTGAACAGTCTTCTATTCGCTCCGGTACAGAGAGCTTGAGACGATACGGGCAACCCAGTCCAACCAATGCGGCCACGGCCGACAGCCGATCTGGTTCAGTCCCACTTCAGGTGGCCGACAGACACAACCGGCATAAGTCACCTCGCGCTGGGATTGGACGATTTATGTCAATGAGCAGTGGATCGGGGAAGAGTTCAGAAGATATGATTGGACAAATGCTTCCAGATCCCTCAAAGTTGCCGAAGGAGGAACCTGTGAGCACACTGGAGTTCACCGGAACCAAACTCAAGAATCCAAAGAAGGTAAGGAAACATAAATATTTATTAGGTTCCATTTACCTCCACAAATTCGGAAGTCTGTTGGTTGCCTTCTCCTCGCTTCTTTGCTGAGTACCCCGAGCGAGTAGGGAATTTCACTCAAAGCCCCCTACGCACGTGGTAAACAACGAAGCCTACAGGAACATTCCTATTTGCAGACAGCTTTCATTCCACTGAAGAATCCGGAGCAGTTTTGTTGATGATAGTTGGGGTCGTTGGGGTGCGAATACAGTGGTGTAGATTGGGGTTCAGCATCACTTGGGATTTCGGGAGGAACTGGGTGGAAGTTGAGATGCCAACGGGTGCTGCTTGTTTTTTGTCCCGTATCCGGGGTCCACATTCATGAAGAGTCTAACTGCAGCCGTACCGGGATGAGCACCGCGGATATCTGATATGTTCGCTGGCACACATTACCACATCTGAGCTGGCGAACGCGTCCAAATGAGAATGATGCTTTGCTTGCAGCCTTAATAGTTGTGTCGGTCCAGCGATTTCGCTTCGTAGTCAGGTAGGGCCGTGAACGCTCGAAACCGCTGGACAGTTTTTTCGTTGGATGTAGATGGTTGCGGCTTTTGCGGAATCCGTTTAGACAGTCTTTGCGTCTCGACACGACTATTTAGGTTAATCCGCACTAGTGACATCCGAATGTCTGAGACTCAGCACCTGGCAAGGCCTAGGGGTTGCTGAGTTGCAGCAAGAGCGAAACTACCTATAGAAAAGCCTTTGGAGACATCCAAATACATTCTCATGTGCCTGCAAAAACCTAATACAAATCGTGCATGACGTTCACGAACTTGTGGGGTATGACCTAACGCTCAAGTATGTAGCAAAGTACCAACACTTTTACTGAATCGTACGCACTATCCAGCTCGAGGACCGCTTGTACGCGTGTTTCAGCTCTTGACGTCCACACCCCATTTCACGTTGAAATCATGTCTCCGGGTTCCGTCTTCACGCACCTTCGTAAGATGACATAATATAAGTGGTGCAAAGCTTCTAGTTACAATGCGGGTCCACTGTGACTGTCACACTCACAGCGAGCACCGTTTTTGAAAACGGGCACCGCAGTCGACCCTCTTTCCCCCGCTTAAATAGAGGCAAATAAGTTGGACAAGCATTGAATGAGACTTTCGCCCCAGCTTTGAACAGAGCGTGTGCGATTTTGTCAGCTCCATGAGGCCAGAGGGACAAAACGCATAGGCTTATTTCCGAAGCTATCGAGGGTTACAATTTCTTTGTCCTGAGCTGCGTCACTGGTCTGTAGTCCGACCGAGCAACTACAAGTAGCCAATTGATTTGCTCTTGAAAGTGTTCTACTCAACGATTCTGGCGTCGTTCGTTTTCACAGATGAGGGAGCCGTTAATTCCGTGACACCTCTTCCCCAATCTGTCTGTTCCACTATCCTGACGCAATAAGCTCAGAAGATGTGACGTTGTGGATACAAAACTGATTCCGTCTCATATTCGTTAAAAAGATCTCAGATTTAATCTCCCTCATTTCCTCAACAGATTTCACAGAAGTTCCAGGCGAAAAGTGGATTTGAGGTCTTGCGCAGGAAACGGGGTGAGTTTCTCACTTTATGCTATAAATCACTAGCTAGCTGCCTCTTCCTGCCCTACTTCCAAAAGTCATGCAGTCATCATAAATTACTCTGAAATTATCGGTAATTTATCTATATATTGCTATCTCATGTGGGTTCATTGGCAGTTGATGAGGTGGTGTTCACCGCCACTGGCAACTAACTTGATGCAAAATAAACATACCGCGACGCAATTCAAATTCCGAAAGGACCAGTCGAATTACGTACTAGCCAGAAGTGGAGGGTTTGCCAGCCTAACCGCTCATTGACGGTTTCTCCTCGCAAACCAATTGCCGAGCTCGGTGAACAGATCAATCAACTCCTGATCGACATCCAATCTCAACTTATGTTTGTCTAACGAGATCATTTCTACCCGGCTGTCCTTCGCCAGCCTCAGAATCAACAGCCTGCGTTCTCACACCCATGTGTCCCTCCTGATCGACATCCAATCTCAACTTATGTTTGTCTAACGAGACCATTTCTACCCGGCTGTCCTTCGCCAGCCTCAGAATCAACAGCCTGCGTTCTCACACCCATGTGTCCCTCCTAGCGCTTGAGTAAAATTGGTTGTACGACCGGAAAGTAGTCAATCCCAAAACTCACTTCTGTTCATCAAAAACAGTGATTTTGGTGATGTCTCTTCATGCAGTCACACCAACTCTTGGGGTTTGGTGATCTTCCACGGGCTAGTCGATCGAATTCTGTCAGCAGGTTAGTCTGCGTCTGAAGGATTTCATAGGTACGCTACTTCAGTCCGCCCCATCATGGTGTTTGTTAGCACACTTCCAACCAGATAAGATAACCATTTCGTTGCATAAATACGAAGCATGAGGACTGAATGATTGCCAGATTGACGAGTCAGTAGCTCAGTGACTATCCACAAAGCTCTCAACGGCCATTCTACATATCACAAACGAGAGATTCAGTTGAGTCTCTTGTGAAAACCAAATTGATCTGCAGATGAGTGTATTTCTCGAAAACGGTCCAATTTGGTTTCAAGTGGAACATAAGGTAAACGGAAAGTCGGGGATGCGCCTACCTGATGAGCCCGAAGTGGAAGGGCGAAAGCGGTTGTGGGCTGGGTTTTCAGCAACCTTGTGAGTAGTTTCCTTCACGACGGCCACTTTGTCCTGACATCCGCCGAATATACACGAGACAAAGATTTAGTACGTTGGTGGTCGAGGAGAGTTGTCAGACGACCCTCATTCATTTTCAAGGTCAATCGCTCCTAAATATTCGCACCACAAAGAAGGAACCGTCATGATTGTCTGTCGTTATTGTCATGGATGACAGTGAAATCACAGTGAGATGACACTTGCTTACCTGCCGTCAAACTCACACCACTATACTGGCGTTATAGAGCCTCGGTTTTCACACTGTTTCCCACGCGTTTCCCTTGAACGTGCGGCAAGTTTCCTAGTGAAGTGAAAATATCTGAACACCATGATGAATACATACGTCTTTTTGAATAATATGGAAAAATGATATCAGCATTGGTGAGTTTTCGGCACCAAAAAGGACGAGTGTTCCTACAAATGTGACTCGATCCCCTGAAGTCAGCAACGCATTGAGGTAATGAGACCGCGCTCAACATCGCTCCAAACATGTATCGAGATGAAAATGGAAAAAATGATCTGCTGTGTGATAAAACATTGCTTTGAGTAAAATAGATGTGTTTGGATGCTGAGAAGCTCAGCCACAGGTGTGAAAGCCTCTGTCCTCTGCGGACTCCTCGGATTGTGTAGAGAAGTTAACCACTTGGCAGTAGCTGAGGACCACAAATCCATTGACCATACATCAAGTGAATTCCACTCATTTCCTTTAATCAGCTATCAGCGTGACCAGGTGACTTGACTACGTGTGACCAGTCGGTCAGTTTAACCTCAAAATTCACGTAGCTAACGATGTTCATTAGATGTTATCCAAGAAGCGTGTGGTCAGATCCCGACCGAACAGTGCTTCCTGGACGGGTATTCCACGTCTTCTACGAATTCAAACATCGCGACCCGTTGCGTTTCCTGGAAGGGCCGCAGGTTCAGAGTCCGCTTCAACTCCCTCACCTTTGACAAGACTATTACAGGCAATTTAGCGTTAGTTCAGTTCAGTAACCTCATCGGTCCACTGCAGAGTGCTTCATCTAGGGTGCAAGCCACTGAACAAACCAAGAGCCAGTCAAGCGTATCTTTATGTCTAGTGGAGCAGAACATGTTGCATTAACTCATTTACATAAACACGTTTCTATTATCATTTGTGCCTCAACCGAAATGTCACATCTCATTCATGGGGTGATTTCTCGAGCGCAGAATCTAAATTTATTTCAAATACCTCGGTAGATTCCGACCTATTCACAAATCCGTCAATCTAGGAGGATTGCTTCTTTTACAATGGAAGGTCACGCCGTGGTTTCAGATGCTCGATTCATGTCTGTTCTACCCGAGGTCTGTGGTTTGTGTGTCTGTCCTCAAGATTTGTTGGCTACTCCCCTTCAATTTACGCTACGTCAGCTACGAAACTAACACGTTCCGATCGACCGAATTTATCCTACGTGTTGTAGGGATCTGTTTGTGTTAGGATTTGTATCACTAACATGGCTCCACCTTCTAAAAGCACCCTCGCGGTTTTTTTCTGACTCGCCGTCAAGGCAACCAGATAGGTCGTCTTCTGTTCGCGATATTCTGCAGTCGTATCCAGTGTTGTAGACAGCTTGATATTTTCCGACCCAACTATTTTTTTCCCCAAAGCATTTTTTCTTTGGAAACAGCATGGCTTTCTAAACTACCCCTTACGAATTCTGTGTCCTTTTTTAACTATCGAGGTCTCTGTCTGCTTTCCTCGCTTACAGAACAGAGGCACAGTGAGGCTTTTTCTTTTCAAGTTGACTGTTTCTGATTTGCATGATTACCTCCCGCCCATAGACTGATGTGTTGTTTTTTTCACTACATGATGGGTCGACTCTTTTTTTTGCATCACACCTATAACCCGCCCTTGTCCGCGCGAAATCCTATATGCTTCATCTATTCCCGACGTTGTTTTTCCCAATAAATGAAAACCAATTTTCTGTTAAGGTCACTTGGCTGACCTTGAGATGACACACATCTACTTTTCGCCGCCTGTGGATATCCTGCAAGACTTTAACCAGACCGCTCGTTTTGCCTCATTCTTTCCGTCCGACGTGGTTTCGCCTAACAGACTACATGACATGAGGATAATTCCCTTCATTCAGCGAGCTCATAGGTATAATTTGAGGATGGGTGAGCGCTTGGGGGACTTAGACCACGCCTACGCACGCGTGGCGATGATCAACCGCGTGTTCAAACCAGTCCCACCCTACTTGTGAGTACCAAACGAAATCATGCAACTATTTCGTTATTATCATTCTTCGGACTAGGCTCGATACTCTGTTCTCGTCCGGATTCTGTTCGTCTTCCGGATTCGGCGCACAACCTTGAAAGATCATAACGAGGACAACAATGAATGCTTTTTTCGAAAGCTTGTCCACACCGTTGTCATCGTTGTCGAATCTTTATTAGACACCACCTCCAGTTGTAACTCTTCATAAGCCCTTCGAAAACGTGAGTATGGCAAGCTCGATCACTCATCGACAGCCTTTCCAGTTGAAAAGGGAAGGGACGCGTCGTTTCCAGCACGTACGTACGTCAATTACTAGTGGACCTTTGCAGGTTCTGAGGATTGGACATATTGGCCTTTTTTGAAGGTAGAAAAAGAAACCAGAACACCTCGGAAACGAGCTTGATTGGTAACTGATGAAAAATTACATCGATACCAGACTGATGAGCTCGTTTCATAACTTAAATGCGAAAGGCAATCCCTCTAGTGGATCACACTACTTATGAGTAGCGTGTAGTGGATCACGGATTTAGGCTGAACATGTAACTTGCCCCCGCAGTTTGACTTATTTCGTTTCTAGTACGAACTCGTTCAGCTTTAGCACTCTTTCGCTGCCTAACCGCCATGGCACCAGTGGGGAGCACGAGGGCTGGATACTGCCAGGTTGCCCAAGCCTGGGGAGTCGAGAGGTCGGGTACGTACCCTCTGTTCAGTAAATTTGTGCTCTAACCACTGAGGCATCTCGTGCAAACTGAGACGCATCGACCCGTAACGTAGTGCTTGCGCACACGTGACTCCCGCCAGGATGAACTTATGCTACCTTTTGATTTATCACTCAACATTTGACGCAAGTCACCCATCTGAAGGAACTTGTTAGCCAAGAAATGTTTCTGCTGGAGGAATCTTCACTAGAGAATCCAGTCAACACCAGATCACGTGATGTGAATTGAGTGATCAAGGCATAATGGACGCTTTGTACTGTCCAAGTAAAAATCAATCACAGCGATTGATGAGCAGCTCATGGTCGAATTGTACGGAGTTCAGCTACAAATCAGAGGGCCACCATGGATTCGCATCTCCCCAAAGATTCGGAAAATGTACACCACTGATGCTTTCGACGGTCCAACTTTGATTAACTTCACTCGCGGACTGCAGTCTGTCTATATTAGAAGGTGCGAAATGTATCAGTTCTCTTGTGTCCTAATTTTTTTCGACAGATTGATCCTAATTCGTCCCAGTCCATTCATCAGGTGCAACATTTAACCCTCCGTTGTTCCTTGGGGAAAGTACATAGTTTTACTTTAGGCAAGTGTGAAAGCACACTGATATCCCCGCTCCCATTACTTTCAAGTATTGCAATACGCATAACCTTCCTATATCGGTTTTAGTTTTCCGTTCATTCAAATTGTTCTGCTCCATCGATCGTACCATGCGTTTTTCGTTACTAAAAACGGTATTATACTTTCGCATGCATTTTGTCCTGTTTCTTTGTGTGTTTCGGGTAGACCACGAAGCTGTTGGTTCTCTTCGTTTTTGACATGAATTTTACCGATTTATAACCAGGTTGAATAGTCGTCGGACTTACGCGATGTTATCATTAAACTAGACGAGATTTTTCCCATGAAACTAAGGATGCGGCTCGATCAGAGCGGCAGTGTCATAACTCCCCCCTCCCCCAAGTAAAAATAACCCTGAAACTGGACTAAGTCCTCGGTTGTCATCCCTCACATACGCGCCAGTTCTAAGGAGAGTGATATGCAACGGTTGCCGCAAGTGGGCACAATATTTTCCTGGATTATCACGTCGCCGGCATGTGTTCACACAACACGACTGTTTCGGTCACAAAAAGCAACCAATCGCGTTTCGTGCTGAGCTCAACAAGTGAGGTTTGTGTATCGGTTTCTGTATATCGTAAGTTTCCCTTGACATCAACAACAACAACAGCAAAGACACGGCTTTGTTTTTATGAAATGCTGACACGAAAACAGCTGTTATTGGGTATCGGTCCCGTCAAATATTTAATTCAAGTTTTCTTTGTCATAAGCAGAATGACTTTTTAACTCTAAAGACAGTTTTTTCCCGCAGGAAAAGTCACTTTTGTTGGTCAGTTGTAGCTCTCTCTCCCGCAAGAATCGAGCGCTTCCAGGTATGATGGCTTTTGGTTGTTTTTTCTGATACTGGTCTCCCCGAAGAAGATGGTAAATCTTATAATGTGCAGAAGTTAATGTGGACAGTGTTTGCTTGACTTCAGAGGAAGGTGTATCAGGGAAGTGCACCAAAGGTGCGCGTCACGCGTTTTTGTACACAGACAAACGGGGCTTGACTTCAGAGGAAGGTTTATCAGAGAAGGGCACCGAAAGGACTCAAAGTGTTCGTCACGCGTTTTTGTACACAGACAAACGGCAAACAAAGCAAAACGCGGGTTAGGCGTTTGCATACCCAGTACGGGGGTTTCCGACAGTAATTGAGGAACTCTGATTATTCCGAAGTCGTACCGGCTGTCCGCTGGGCCTAGGGTCTCCCATTTCTATGTAGGTGAGTCGACTAGAAACGCTTACCAAATAAGGTAGATATCTCCAACGTAGATTGGGAGTTCGCTTCGGGTAGTTACGTCTGGAAAGCATCGCTGGTGTCGGATGGCGCCAACGGATTCTTAAAGGTGTAATTAGAAAACGGGTGTTTGTTCGTGCAGCGGATACTTCAGTTGCGGAAAGCATCCAGCACCATCATCTGCAGTGGCGCAGGCATGTGCTATGCGTGCCTTTTTTGTTATTTGTACCTCCTTCAGAGTGGAGCGAACGTGGCAGAAGAGCTTGAACAGGATCACGAAGAGTTTAGGTGCTGCTGGTGAGGTCTACGTCTTAAAATGTGGTCTCCGTGACCCCCTGCGCTTGGCTGGAGACCTTGCAAGGAGCGGCGGCCAATCGATGTTTTAGCGTTCTTTTTGTCAGTTTCTTTCCAGATTGCCTGATTGGGCGCCTAGATGTGTAGGCATCGAGGAATGCTTGTGATACGCCAACACTGGGCCCTCTCCATCAACCAATCTTTTCCCTTCATTTCATTTTGAGACTTGGAGTAGAATTAAATAAACTTTGTGGTTGTACGGCAATGAAGCATCAGTGTCAAAACCGATGTTGCTGTTCCTGACGATGATGGAATAGCTATCCTTTGTCTTGAGATCTAATTGGGTCGATTAAGAGTGATACCCTCTAGAACAACTGAGTTTTTATGTAGCTTTCATCCTGTAGGTGAAACCAGTTTGTACTGAAAAGGTGAGAAGCACTGTAGAGCTGTTTCATCCTTAATGGGAATCATAAGCAGAGCACAGTTGACGAGACTCTGGATGGTCTCGAGACACACAATCTTTCGGCTACAAATCAAAACTCTTAACCATTCGGCCTCGAGCAGCTGGTCAGCGGCGCTTAGGACAGCACTGCAAAACAGTTGCATTCTCGGGGAACACACTGCGTACCCTGCCCAGCTGGGGCTCATATATAAGATGGATTTCGCGTGCCAAGATATATTCGCATCCGATACGGTGTTATTTTTCTTACGCGGAAATGCTGAATGCCGTCTCCACATAGTTCAAAGTAAAGGCCTCTTAAGATTCAAGACTACATCCATAGTTCACTGTGCTAGAGGTTGCCGTATTCGTATGTGCTGGATTCTTTCCGAATAAAGGTGTATCATACTCCTCGACAAAGGCTGTGATGTTGGGGAACTTTGTTGTACCCGGTCACTTGATGCTGCTTGGATAAACAGCCTCAGTTCGGGAGGATAAGCAACTATTTGTCCGTCCCTCTTACAAAATGGCCGCATTATTACTGTAAAAGGCGCACACTACCTCCAAACGTACAGCGTGATGGCCCGTTAGCTGCTGAATGTGGTTGAACAATCTATTCCTCGTCGAGTCAATCGTGAGTTCCGTTCGAAAAGGACATCGCAAATCTTTCTTGTTTCTCGTTCTACATAGACGGATGAGATTTCAGGTCTCTCGTCCTGCTGAATGTGAACAATCTATTCCTCGTCGAGTCAATCGTGAGTTCCGTTCGAAAAGGACATCGCAAATCTTTCTTGTTTCTCGTTCTACATAGACGGATGAGATTTCAGGTCTCTCGTCCGAAAAGAAGTCCCATAATCCTCAATGGGTCATAGGAACTAGAAGGCGAGGGTCCACGCATGGATCGATCAGTTTGGCGTTCGTTTTGACAAGTCATCTGATCCCCATTAGCTACATTAATGCCCACGCCTGACATTCCAAACTTACTTTACTATTGCAGCAAAGTTACTATCTATGACTGTTGCACACCTGGAAAATGGATGGCTTTGTGCCTATCTGGTTTACTTGTTCGTCGAACTGTTGATCTAATCAGGGGTATGTAGACTTTGAACTGTCCGTCGCTGAACCGTGAGAAACCGAGTCACCCGTCTTGCGATGGTTTGGAAAGTGAGATGGTGTTGTTGTGACTGAAGCAAACTGCTTGACTGTCGAGCTGAATTGTCTCCATCAGCGGAGAGGTCTGGAGGCCTTTCACATAACCTCTTTCACTCACCAGTTTTGCTGAAAATGTGTCAGAATACTGGTAGTTCGGATGAGTTTATTCGTGGTGGCCGTCGAACCGTCTGTTACCGAGCCTGATAACTGACATGCAAGCGTTTGAGGAAACTTCGTCAGTGCGCCGCTTCAGAGAGACATTCCACGCGTTCGTTTAAGTCATCTGATCCCCATTAGCTTTTCTAACCAAAGCGATGCCAAAAAAGTGGAGCGAAACGTAATCCAAGTCACACTGTAGTGCGATGCATGACCGTCTACATTAATCCCCACGCCTGACATTCCAAACTTACTTTACTATTGCAGCAAAGTTACTATCTGTGACTGTTGCACACCTGGAAAATGGATGGCTTTGTGCCTATCTGGTTTACTTGTTCGTCGAACTGTTGATCTAATCAGGGGTATGTAGACTTTGAACTGTCCGTCGCTGAACCGTGAGAAACTGAGTCACCAGTCTTGCGATGGTTTGGAAAGTGAGATGTTGTTGTTGTGACTGAAGCAAACTGCTTGACTGTCGAGCTGAATTGTCTCCATCAGCGGAGAGGTCTGGAGGCCTTTCACATAACCTCTTTCACTCACCAGTTTTGCTGAAAATGTGTCAGAATACTGGTAGTTCGGATGAGTTTATTCGTGGTGGCCGTCGAACCGTCTGTTACCGAGCCTGATAACTGACATGCAAGCGTTTGAGGAAACTTCGTCAGTGCGCCGCTTCAGAGAGACATTCCACCCACTTCTTTCTTGCTTGCATATGGCCTACTAAAGTTTTCGAATGACAACAGTTGTGATGGCAGGGATGAAGAATGTATTTGGGCATTTCCATCGCAGTGTTCCCCGTTGACAAGTAAATCGGCCACTTCAGGGTTTGTTTCCTCCTGCACTTGAAACAGCTCCCTCTCGTTGAAACCCACTCGTCCTGGAAAGACCGCAAAGTACGCCAAGGAGTGACAACTTTTCACAAGATGCGCATGGGTTGTGGATTGTTCAACGCAGAAAGTGAGGTGTTGGGATTACGTTTTGTACTCAAATCTCAGGAACTCGTGTTGCTCTGTGTACTGTTGCCGCTGACAACGAAGATGACATTGATGATGATTGCGATGACACTGTTGACTGATGATGATGGTGTTGACACGGAGTGATGGTTTTGATGGTCGTGGCGTTGTCTTGGTGATGCGTGCACCCATTTTTCCTCTTTCATTTCTCCCTAAATTGGTTGTACTACGGCTTGTGCTGGTTTCAGAGGCAACGGGAATTACCAGGAGCTATGGATACGAATCTCCTTAGTTTCCGAGTATTCTTACATCTTCACAAAGATATCTGCTGACGATTTTCCATATTACTGCCGTCCTTGGTTATCTATCTGAGAAACGACGTTTAGGTCTCTGTAGTTTTCTAATCCAGATGTCTTGACCTTGTACATCCTCAGCTGGAAGTCTCAGTGGTGGCAGCGGTGGTGGAGATCGTCGAAGTTTGACCGGAGCCATATCACCAAGCCCTCGACCGTTCCTGTTGGAGCATATATCCAAATCAGATGAAACGCTGTTCTCGGTGGCGGACACCGCGGGCCGATTGGCTACAACTCTCATTGTTACTAATACTTCCGGTGGGGGAGCAAGCCGACCCAGCTCAAGTGTGGAACGACTTCAGCAAAACTCGGCTCATCGTCCTAATCAACAACAGTCATTAAAACCCCATCAGCAGGGACACGCATCAGTAAAACCCACCGGAACTCACCACCATCACCACCATCATCATCACCACTGGCACAGACATGGGAACCACGGACACCATCGATCTCGGGGACACTTCGGTACCCATGTACACCATGTCGGTCGTGCTGCACACACAATGACCAGAGTAACGGAAAGTCGGCGCTACCTGATGTTCACACGATCGCTACCGTTCTGGGTAAGTTCTACTCGTTCTAACTCGTATACATTCTCGATAAGGTGACCGCAACTACTTATATTGTGATCAGTAGGGCGTCACACACAATCAGTGGTCAATAACATAACAGAAACATGCCTTCTGTGAGTCCCGACAGCCCCGTAATTGTAAATGGTGACGACCAGCGGGGGGTGGGGCTACGATTTGACTTCAAGCAAGCACGAAGGACGGGCTTATGCAACTTTACACACTCAAGGTCTCCATGATGTTTGCTGAGATCGTACATTTCTAAACTTTATAATGTCATAGAAGTTACTTCTTAATAATGAATTGGCTAATTTGGCACGAATTGCAATCTCTCAGCCCTTAGAGTGACCAATGTTTAATGCATTTTTGAACTTACAGCGTCTCCCTACCATTATTATAGGTTCTACCGGGTTCACTGATCTGTTTTCCTCTGACCACACCCATATCTTTGATTGATGGTTAGACCGAAACCAACGGATCAGCCTGTATTCATTGTATATTGTTTTTGATCTGTGGCCTGCAAATCAAAGAAATTCACAGCCAGCGTCGCGATTGTATGAGGCAATATATACCGGAGGAGAATGTTGGTCACGGTGTGTTTTGTACGTGGAGTTGAAGCATGTGTGTTCGTCGAAGAATCGTATCCACCCGAACCAAATGCTGGGCTTGTCCAAGGCGTCATCTATCGTATGTTGTTTTGGGGCAGTTTTACCGGGTGACCAGACCTTTTCAAGACCCTAATGTTTACGCTTCACTCGAAGTGATTCCGTTCAGGCGTCACTATGAACAGAATGTGCGTGCTTGCCGGTTGTGAATGCGGTAGTTTCTGCAGTTTTCCTCTGTTAATGTAGTAACGGTATTTTTCGAGCTTAGTTCTCGGTCTGAGCCTCCCAAGCTAGCTTTCACGTCAAAACAATTAGCGATGGTGTCAAAAACGAAATCCGATTGTTTTCCGATTGTTTACCAAGCTCTTCTGAAACAAAGTCAGGAACACTTGTACAGCGCTTCACCTATATAGCTAAGCGGCAACAACTTTCTGGAAATTCTGACGCGTTCTGGATGCGCCTTTGTCAACGGCATTCCGCCAATACTGGGTCATGATTGGCTGTTGGGTCCGGACTTTCGACCAATCAGATCTCGGCTTGATGCCGGACCCGAACTTTTGGCCAATCTTGCGTTGGATGGACTTCTCGGCCGTAGCAGCACCTGACTGCTAGTGGTGAAGTGGGAATTCCGCCTAACAGTATGCAATTCAGCTATGTCATATGGAGAGCACAGAACGTCTCCAACACCGAAACACAGAAACTTGTGGTTATCTGAATGAACTATGCTAAGAAGTCAGCAGCGAAACAAGTAAAGCACAAATCTAAGAGGTGGAATACAAGGCCATTGAAGCAGGACGAAGTTTTCACTGTCATGTGGATGTGATTATTTACAGTGAACGGAGCGAAAATATGTACCAACAGTTTCTGAGTGCCCACATTAAAACCATACGGCTGCCAGCTGTCGATTCAGGAGGGTCAAAGTCCCGCGCGAGCGCACAAAACATCCTTAAAAACAAAGGATTATTCTTCCAGTTTCACATAAGATATAGTGTCATTGCTCGCTGCTTGGCTATTGCATTTTGACCAAAAACCAGCTCTCCCTCATTGAGCAGCAGAATGCCAGCGGTAGCCCTGAAATGATGTGTTCAGATGCAATAGGACCAGGTTGTTCCAAGAGGAAGATGAAAGGTTTCACCTGCAAAAGGCAAAAAGTTCGTACCGTTCGTAACTGGTGAAAGTAGGAATCTCGAGTGTCCATTTGGCAACCGGAAACCATAGTTAGCCACCGATTTTCTCAATTTCTAGCTAAAACGATAGCATGACAAAGTGGTGTGCGAAGTATTCTACGTTTTCTGGACCAATGCACTGCTCATTCCAGTGTTTTGCCTTGCTAATTACATTTCGTTTGGTGCTATCGGTTGTGAGCATGGTCCAGGCAACGATTCGGTTGACCCGGTCGGTCAGAGTGCAGATGTCATCGCTTATCATCGTTTGGATGTATCGATTATCCAGATGAGGGTGTAAAGGTTACCATCAGCGAGGGGATGAAGGCATATTCTCAACACAACTCACTGCTGGTAGGGTCGCTGAAGTATTTTCGTTTTTTTCAAAGTTCTCGCCGACACGGGATAAGATCGCGCAATCTGATAGCAGTCTCTCTGGTTTCAGAGATGGGGCAAGTTCCCACTGGATTCGAGGAAAACCCAAAATACTTCATCAAGTTCGATAATGTAAAGCCTGCCTCTCAAGTGCCAACCGGTCCCACTACTTGTTGATTTATTCTAGTCCATCTGGATCAGCGTTTTCGTACTTCAGTTTGCTCATTTGATCGAAAGGTAGTTGGAAGTTCTGTTGTGTGTAAGAGCTCGTGTGACCGACTGGCCAAGTTACTGTCCGACCTTTCATTTCGGCGGACTTCATTGCTACCTCCAGGCTGGTCAATTACTCCAGATATGCGGCATCTTTGAAGTCGAATTTTGGTCCTTTTATAAAGATGTTCTGTTGTTTCTAATCAGCCTTGTCTCAAAGACTACTATTGAAGAAGCAAACGTCTCATGTCTGAAGTGCTTGTCACTTTTATAGTTTTTCGAAACGGAAACCTCTTAAGAACACACCCAAAGCTGATCTAGCCTGCTATCAGAGAAACAGATGTACTTCCGTCAGTTTTGTGAACTTCTCAAGCAGACAGGTGCAGCAAGCAGGAGGAGGAAGCGCTGCGAGCCCCGCAACTTGAGTTCGGGGGCAGGGGTGAACAACAATCCAGAATCATCACCGGAACGACTGCAACCATCACACCTCCATATCCCAGTTATATCCAGCTTTTCATCAAAAAGCATGTTCATTTGTCTTTGTGGGAGCAGAAATAACGGAACCGTGAGGTTCACCGCAATCAATAACCGCATCGGTAGAAAGCAAGACGAAGTTTTCGACTGATATACACAAGTTGGGCTACGGATCCCCTACTCTTAGGCATCACATCAAGGTGAACACTGATTCCCCTCGTTATCGCCGATTGGTCAGTAGAAAGAACAAAGGCCATTTTCGTAGAAAGATTCTCTTGAACCCATCACGAATTTGAGTCCATTTCATTCCCTTCAAGAAGTCATCTTCTCGGAATACACGCGTTTTCAAACTGATTTAATGTGAACAAGACTGTCAACGGAATCCTTTATGATATTTTTCAGTTGAATTTGCTGCACAAGGGCGACTTTAGATAGACTTTTTGAGGGTCACTTTGGAAAGACTGCTCTCCATTTTTGTCCATTTGAGAACAGAATGCTCAGTTTGTTCAGAACGCCTTTACATCTCGTCCTACACAGCTCCCATCACCTAGTGCGCATTGTAAGATTTATCGAACGCTGGAATGTGGCCTGAACCTGGGACAGTTCCGGCAGTGGGCGTGCGTGTCCTTGGGATGTCCTTGAAACTGTCTCGTCTGTTACGCACGTGTTGGACTAAAACAAACAGCCTAATTGTGCCCCGGTTGATAATGCTAGTTGTCTAAATCAAATATGCATTGAACCGGTACAAGCAAGAGTAACGTTGGATCGAGTTTATCACTACTATGAGATCAGTTTGCCGTGAGCTTTTAGCCATGCAAACGATGTCCGCCTGTTGATTGTATCAAGGCTGTTCGTTTTCAGTTGTTCCGTAATATCCCAAAGAAACATTCAAGTTCTCATATAGCAGTTTGGAATGCACTCGTTTGTTTCGGCACTGTAGCGGAGTGGTTTTAATGCTAGAAAGCTAGGGCAAAGAACCGTCATACCAAGTGATGACTTCTTGGCTTTCAGTGTTAGGTGCTCCGTAATCAAGACTTTGAAAAATCAATCAGACAATCGTTCAGCTGTAAAAACCTTTCGGTGGCTAGTTGCCGTGCCACCCAAAGGAAGCACGAGGGCTGGGATACTGCCCAAGCCTAGATTAGAAGTCGAGATGCAGAGGTCAGATTAGGACCATGGATCTTGTGGTGGGTAAATATCAGGAAGATCAGCTTCCTGAAAGCAAACACTGAATGCCCGGAACCTACGGTGACTCTCAGCTCCGCTGGGTGTTGACCAGTCAGACAACGCCCCCTCAGTATGCAGCGCGTCACAGCCTTGCATCAAACCCAGACAGCGCGAGTTAGCGTTGATCAAGGACAGACAACGCCTCCGCAATATGCAGCACGTCGCTGCCTCGTACTAATGCCAGACCGCGTGCGTCAGCATTGGACCAAGTTCAGACAATGTCCTTCCAATAAAAAGCTTGAGGCCGTTGTACTTTTCGCACTCGCACGCACTCGCGCTCTCGCAACCACTTTGTTGGAATATAGCTATTGTGTTCCCTTCCGTGAGCCTTTTTCTCTCCGACACTAGGCACTGGAGCGGGTCAGCAGCAGATACCACAGGCCGGCGAATCAGCAGACATAACAGTAAATTTGCGCTCTAACCACTGAGCCATCTCGCCATCTCTCAAAAACTTTACTCCTTATGAGTAAAGTTTATAACATTGTACGGATGGATGGGATACTTTTTGGAGCAGTCGAACACTCAGATTGATTCCATAATAATAAGCTATAGATGGTGATCTTGTGCTCAAACTGTCGCTCCTTTGGGAACACATGCATTACTCAGCAGCTCAGTGACTAAGAATACCACTGATCGCTCGCAAGATTCGATCTTCAAGCAACAGTTGTCCAGATGAACGAACTGGTCGGCCAGTAGATGACTGGTTTGAATTCCGAAACGCTGTGCGAGCTCCAAAACAAGACAGCTGGTCAATTCAAATTGGATTTCACAACAATCCATGACCCTGACAATCCCGAAGAAGATGTTCCCACCGTGACGGCAATACGATTCTGCAAGCTCTCCGAAACCTGCAGTCGCAAGCCTGATCGGTAGGCATGGTGGCTAAGGAAAGCTTAAAAACGGAGAAGATGGCGATGATTGAAAACGTCGATCTCATTTCTCACTTTCCAGTGTCAAGAAGGTTGTCGACCAGTGAAGTCACTTCGGTTAGAAATAACACAAAAGTTCGCGCAGCTTCTGACGTCTGCTGTTATAGCATACGTACACGCCACTTACAATCCGGGGAGAGACACTGGAATTTGTGGAGAGTTTTGCGTATCTTGGAAGTCGTATTAGTTCTGATTGTAGTGTGACAGATGAGGTCAATGCACGAGTATGCAAGGCTCTGGTCGCGTTTGCTAACTTGAGACACCTATGGCATCAGAATGGTTTATCCCTGAATCTCACGGGACGGGTGTATCAAGCTACAGTACGGGCTGTCTTGCTGTATGGCTGTGAGACTTGGCCTGTTCGAGCAGCGGACCTGAGACGTCTTCAAACGTTAGACAACCGTTGTCTCAGAGCCATAGCTCGTGTAGGTCAGTGCCGGCGAATCCGTAATGAGGCACTTAGAAAGCGCGTTTCCAGTTGTGCGACGGGTAATTCCATTGAAGAATGTGTCCAGCACCAGAAGCTGCGTTGGTTGGGACATGTGTTGCGTATGCCGAACCATCGTTTGCCGAAGAGAGTGCTGTTTTCCATGCCCAATTCGGAGTGGCATAAACAGAGAGGTGGCCAACCCTTGACTTGGCAGAGGAGCATGAAGGAGATCACGAAACGCTTGGGTGCTGTCGGTGCTACTCGCCTTCCAGGATGGGGACCGTGTGATCCTCACTGTGCCTGGTTGGAGACACTAGAAGATATGGCTGCCAACCGATGTCAGTGGCGTTCTTGTTGTCAGTTTCTATCCCGATTGCCTGAGTGAATGTCTGGCGGTGTAGGCACCTCGGAATGATTGTGTTAAGCTAGCAATAGGTCCCTCCCTCGTCCACCTTTTTTCTTTACAGTAAGGCTTTCAAATAAATCATGGTTGTGCGGCAGGGAAGCAACAGTGTTGAACACTGATTTCACGCTGTCGATGATGATGAACTGATAATTTGTCTGTCAAATGTTTAAATGGAGCCTTTGTCATTTAGGCTATGACGATGCATCTACTGAATTGTGTGGTAGAGGATTGCGCAATTCAATGCACAAACTATTGACCTGATCTGCTGTTCGAATCGCACGATGTTTTGATCGCTTCTGTCCAACTTCATGTAACCTTGAACCAAATGTTGAATTCCTACTGGTTGTGGGCTCTTGAGAGGCGCACCACAGGACTCGGTTGCATTAGAGTACTTCCCAATGAGTTGAGTTCGCTCGCAGTATGTAAGCCACGACTGGAAATTCAGCCATTCCTGACTACTCATAAGTAAGTCACTCAGGTATGAAAGCCATGCTTGGAACTTCTTTGAACTCCATACCCCCAATCAGTCACACACACATCGAGAGTCAGGTAAGTTTAGTTATGGAATTTGCGTCAAAATGTTCCAAGTAGTTTGCATGTGATTAGTTGGGACATACTTCGTCCCCCTTTGAGCAACTATGTTGTTGGGCAACACTGTTTTCTTCAAATGTGTCTTGTTTCGTCTGCATCAAGAGGTTGCGCGCTCTGATGATGGTCCAGAATTGAGGTCACGTGAACTTAAAGACTTCCGCCTTCAGCCTAAAGATTCAAGACCCCGGTCTACTCTTGGTTTCCATAAGTCCCATTTTAGGTCTGGAGGGCTCAGCTAACGTGCTTTCTACGCTAACCATCCATTGTGAGAAGGCTAAGTTACTTAATTACTGAGTAGTATCGCCTACGTGGAACATATGTGCCTAAAAGCAACATCTAAGAGACCCTGGTGATTTCCGTTACCATTAGAACACTTTCTTTTTTATATCACACTGACCGTTGTTTTCACTTCCTTTTTCTCTTCTTAAGTCAACCAAGCAATACATGGAAACCCACGGAACAGGATTGGGTAAGTGACCTGTATTTTGTCCAGTTGGAAAACCGTTATACATAAAAGATTTTCAGGCGGACAGAGTAAAATAAGAGTCTCACGGAACTCGGTAGTTTCAACAGCATTCATAACTGAATGAGCTCGAGATGGCTGAGTGGTTGGGGTGCAAACTTACGGACCGGATGGTCTGTGGTTCGAACCCAACCTCTGCATTTCGACTGCTTCCATCTAGGTTTGGGCAGCCCAACAGCATGTCAGACCTCGTGCTTCCTTCGGGTGGCCGGTAGGAACCTTGAGGTTGCTTGGAATGTCTGGCAGTTATCACGGACACTGCATTCATGCGCACACACAACAGTGCAGATAAACATACCATTCGGGGGAACACCATTAATATGTTACTAACACTCTGTCAGTAGTGCGAGTAATTTTGCTTGGAGCTCGAAGTTGTTTTAGCCGTTTAGTACATGCAAAGTCAGCTTCTCACTGAAGGTGCGTTTCTGTCAGGCTAGACAGCGTGTATATAGTAAAATCGGTCCCATATCTGGCTTCAGTCACTCAAACCCAAACTGATGTTCGCTCTCTCGCAGTGTCGGCGAACTACATTCTACCACATTGTGCCTTATCCTTGCTCGACACTAAACCAATGTAGCTATTATATCTGAAAACCTTGATTGGTTCCTTTGCTGTATGCATATATCAAATGACTCGGTCCATGAAGTTCAGAAGGAGCACAAATTCAATCTAAAAAACATGAAGATTCTAGTACGTAAATTACAAGGCACGAGGGGGGGTTCTTATGGTCATAGTACTCTGCAAAGGAGTCAATGAATTGGCATATCGACCTTGTATACGCAGCACCGCTACGAACGAGGGACCGCCAACTCAGTGGTACCACTGATCTGGGCTCACCCGTCACACCCACTGATCAAGAAACGTGACTCACTGTAGAGTTAATTGAACCTCAACACACTGGTGATATCACTTCGGCTCGAGATGAAACGTTTGCAACCAGCTGAGCGAACAAACCAAAGGCCATGATTACAGCCTGAGCTACCAATATTCCTGTTAATTGTGAACCTGCCTTGTCCCACTCGCTCGTACTGCGCAGTCAGTTTTACTTACACCCCATAGACAATGCGTTCGTGGTACCATTTGACGTCGCATGCAGGCGAAGAGCCTGGGGGCCGTTATGTGTGGGTTGGATGAATCGATTTAGGGTAGATCTGTATGCCTACTAATATGGTGGATGGTAATGGGGTGGCTCCACAGGTTCCAAAAGACAAATCGTCACAAAAAGACGACTTGTGTGCTGAACACCTATTCAAGGCAAGGACTGAGCTCTCGAAGACCCAATCATAAAACTCAAGGTTTATCAACTCGGCTCACACGCGAAGCTTACTGGAGTTTCAATGCCTGTCCAAGTTCAGCTCTTGCTGTCGTACAGCGGACCGAGTACCACGACTATCATGCTCTGCTTCATGTCGGTTTACTTTCTTTTCCAATAAAAAAGCGCAGTTAACCGGCATGGCTAGTAAGTTCACGATGATATGGATTGGAACGGTCGGTTGAAGCAAATCGCGCTTCCGCCTTGACAGCAGAGGGATCCTTATCCAAAGGTGTACGTAGTCTCGAGACTACGTCAAACAAATCAAGTCACCTGAGCGATCAGTTGTCAGAACGAACAACTGGTTTGTCTAAACCCCACTCCACCACAAGCAACGCAAGCACGCCAGTCCTCAGGTTCTGTTCGCATCATCTGTGTGTAGTTTTGCGGTCCAACCGGTTCATCAATTATACTGTGCAGTTTTAACGTCTATTTGGTTACCGGAGTACGTAACTCTTCCTACAAATACAATGGCCTAATCAAGTGATAGGATGATGAACCGGTCAATAAATCAACCGGAAGTTAACAACTGCAGTTAGAGGGATTTGAAAAATGTCACCGGACCTTTTTGACTCTTCGCGTACCCGGTTATCTATGCTGTTTTTCTGGTTTTTCACCTGCCCGATTCGTAGTTTTGTAGTATCACATGACAGAAATTCTTTCCAAACCAGTCCAGAAACCAACTTATCTACAGTACGAGTTTCGGTGACAGCTGTTGTATTGAAAGTCCATATGTCCTATCGACCGTGACCGCGTGATCACTGTGCGCAGCACAAACGAAACACCTGATGCACTTTTAGGTGCAAATTGTCCAACGTATTTTTAATGAACTGGTTGCACAGATGTTTCTTGCCACTTACGGAGATTTTGACATTTTCAGGCAACCTACAGAATGCGGGTCGAATTGAAGGGGTGCGAGTAACCACACGTTAACCTGGGACTGAACAATCGATTTTCGCACCCTAGCGCGCGGTCTTTATACGAGCCATTCTCGAGACTTGACTTCCGTAGATTCTGTCGTTGGCTTGTTAGATTCGTACGCCTGAGTTCAAGTAATCAAGATTCCGCAAGGTCGCAAAATAGCGATGAAGTGGAAGCAAAAGTTAGGCAATCAGATGAATTAATTGTTCCATTCTTTATGAGGATTTCTGGAGTTCCTTGTCTCACTGTCGAAGAATAAACTCCTGTCAGTGGCGACCGTGGTTGGACAGCACAAGAGCTGTTTGATGTGATTGTGCTGTGGCGAATAACAGGCTTGACTGCACTGTATTCTCCAGAACAATTGCTAAGTAGGGTGATTTGATGTACTGCGAAATTCTGGACTGCACTGCATTCTCCAGAACAATTGCTAAGTAGGGTGAAACAGTGAGTGAATCAGTAGGGTTCCACGTGCCAACGTGCCTCACAGGGAGGAAAAATATCCAAACGAATACCTAATAGTCAACGTTTCCGTCCTTGTCAGCATGCAGTCAGCCCTTATCACATGCCGTCATCATTCCGAAGAGTGACAACTGGCTTTACATCATTTTGGGGGCTTGATGGCCCGAATGGTTAGAGCGCGAATTTACTGGCCGCAAGTTCCGTGGTTCGACCCCGACCTCTGCCTCTCGACTTCTCCTGTCTAGGCTAGGGCAACCTGGCAGTATCCAAGCCCTTGTGCTTCCTTCGGGTAGCATGGCAGCTAGTCACCGGAAGGGTGTTACAGCTGAACTTTACGTCATTTGATGACGATGAAATTCACGTGACGTTCAAACAGCTGTCGTGTAGCTTAGGTTTTCGTCCACTTGTTAATCGGTTCACTGGGAAAAAATGAGATCGGATTCGATATTCGACTTTTAACCTTCTTACTAATTGAAACGCGTCGAAGCAAGCTTTTGAATCATGAAGAAAATGAACTATTGGTGTAATGAGTGTTGAATCAACCATAACAAGTTAAAGAAGAAATTCACAGCTGCTCAATTGGGAGCGTCCTTGGGAATATCGGTGGCTGTTTCCTCTTTTGGTTCGCATGGTCACAGACTCGCTTCCAAAGCCTTGTGCACATCACAGTTTGTCAGATTTCGATAACACTTTTCACTTTGAGTAAAACTACTTCTCGTCATAAAGGAAACTACTCACAAGGTTGCTGAAAATCCGTCAACACCCCACGACTGGTTTCACCCTTCTTGGGGCTCATCAGGTAGGCGCAGTCAACTTTATGTTCTACTTGAACCCCAATTGGACCGTTTTCGAGAAGTACATTCAGTTGCAGATCAATTTTGTTTTCACGGGAGATCCAACTGAACCTCTCGTTTGGATATTCTACAACTGAATGTGCTGCACACAGGCCGCCTCATGTTTTAATTGGCACGATATTCGAGATATCGCAGTATATTTTCATAAAGGAAACTACTCATTCATAAACGAGAGATTCAGTTGAGTCTCTCGTGAAAACCAAATTGATTTGCAAATGAGTGTATCTCTCTTCATGTTCATTATCGGCTGAAACAATTAATGCATAAATAGCGTTCACTGCTGTCATCCGAGTCATGGGCAGTTGCCTTGGCAACCAGCCAAATCTGGATGATAAGATCACTCAGTGCTGCAATGATCTATATTCATGCCTACGACGTAGAATGTTTGGAACTGTGTTTGGATCCCGTGGCTGGACCTCAATATCCCGCTCAAACTGTATTGTGCGCAAAATATTTGTCAAGTGTTCAACAGAGTTCGAATTTAGTCATCTCTGACAACATAATGAGAGATGACAACAACAGCCCGCAAGTGCTGTCCAAACTCATCGATCAGGTTGCAAAAATGGTAGACTTCAGTGTGACGAAAGCGAAAATTCATCGCCTTGCGCAGTTTCAATTTTTTCCGTCACTCTCATTGAAAGATCCACGTCTTCAAGTACCCTGGTTCAGTTGCTTTTCTTGATAAATGGACATTCGAAGAAGTTAACGGTACCATACAGTACGCAGTATTCGCTCTCTTGCTTTTGAAGAAGACAGCGTAAGATCCACCGAAAGGTACTGACCTGAAATTCGCTTACCTTTGCGAGACTTGGTCTCTAGGAGCTGAGAACCGTTGAGAGCTAGGCTTTTCTTACCATTGCTACTCTCCCGGATTCCTTTTGTTCTTGGCGCTATTTTCCCTTCGGTTAAGTCGTGCTCAAATGCTTCTGCGGCTTCGAGAATATGGGTACCATAGCCCAAGATGCGTGACTCCATTGGTTTGATCACATTCTACAGAAATCTCTAGAAAACCCACGACCACCACTCGGTATTCAATAACCGGAACCTATCAGGGTGCGACTGGATACAAAGCCGAACTTCTCCGCCTTCTCAACGTAAGACGAAAGGCTAAGGAAACATATGAATCCGGCTGCACTTCAGATCCTGGTGCCATGGCCTTTGCTGTCCCAGACATTATTAGAGTTGGCTTATTTAAAAACTGGAGGCCGTAACTGTAAATTAATTTGAGGACGATATAGCTGTGCCCTACATCATTGCTTATGAAAAAAAAACATTTTCAAAACTTTCAATGAGATGCGGTTGGTGCTGCCCTTATGCAAGCGAGCCACAATACTTTGTGACCAGGGAAGAAGCATAAATTCCACAAAGGAAGTGACTTCACGAAGCGACTTCCCTTATTC